TGATATTGAGAGTCATGAGCTTAGGGTGTCATATTTGAGGTTATTTCTTCAAATAGAGTCTTTTGGCCTTTGCATGGGCATCAAGTTCTGAACTTTACGTGATTATCATGGACGGGAAGGTCAGATCTAGGGATTAAAGGAACAGATCTGACCTCAGGAGGTCTTTTGAGTTTGAGCATGGCATGAACTCGCCGAGTCCAGGTACTGAATCGACGAGCAGGAATGGGTTTCCCCGAGAATCACATAGTTGATGACTCACTGAGTTGGGGTCATGACTCAGTGAGTCACAGGGGATTTAAAGGAATTGAGTTCACGACTGAACTCGCCGATTCAAGAGCCGGACTCGACGAGTTGGGTCGAGTTGTTCCACGATTCACAATCAGTGATGATTTGAAGAGTGGAGGGTTGACTCAGTGAGTCAAGTAAGTTCCAGGAGTATGAAGGACATGCCTAGACTCGCCGAGTCACATTTGTGCACTCGACGAGTTTGGTCAAAGTTTGACCGTTGACTTTTGTTGACTTAGGGTTTGGTCAACAATTGGACTTGTAGACCGGTTGAAGGGTAAAATGGTCTTTTAGCCTTCTTTGAGGACATTTGAGAGTCTAGTCTAGCCTAGAGAGTCGTTATTGATTGAGATGATTGTTTATGTGTTTAGGCAGAGGCTAGATCAGTGTATACTCGAGTCAGAGATTTATCGAGATATCCGAGGTGAGTCTTCTCACTATACTTTACCTAGAGCGGTAATTAGAGTTATGATACAGAGTATTTGTATGTTCTTGCATGATGTGAATTCTATGTGCTTTATGCTATGTATGTTCCAGAGTTCAAAGAGTTAGAACCGGAAGGTTCACAGAGTTAGAACCGGAAGGTCCGCAGAGTTAGGACCAAAGGGTCCACAGAGTTATAGCCTCGAGTGGCTAATATGTGTTATATATGGTATTTTGGGGAACTCACTAAGCATTTATGCTTACAGTGTTATGTGATATGTGTTTCAGGTACCAGTGATGATCGCGGGAAGGCACCGGCATGATCCGTACACACACGCGGAGTTTTATATGTTTTTGATCTTGTGATTTTGACTTATGTTTAGATATGTGGAACAATGAGTCATATTTTATTGTGAAATAAAGTGTTTTAAAAAAATGTGAAAATTTGTTTGAAATTTTACGATGTTACACACAAGTTGCTAACATCATCTTCCCCAAAGAAATGTATTTAATTCTAATAAAAGCTTTCCAATTGTCAAACAAAATTAACTTACATCCGTTGAAATTGAATGTATATAATTTCAATAAAATCTTCCCATATTTTAAATCTTGAATTTCCGGTTATAAAGGTTTTAATATGGTCAGCTTTAAAAACATATTAGTAACAAACCATTTCAATTAAGGCATTAATATCAACCATTAATATATATGTGTTTATATTAGTAAACCTTTAATATAAAATCTATTTTTATTATGAAACCATTAATACCAAAAAATCAGATTTAAATTATCATATACATATAAGATTCATTATTGAATCCGCGGCTCACACTTATTTTCAATCGTTGCTTTTCTTCAAACCTTCTCATACAACATCATTCTTATTGTTTATAACTTTCATCATCATTCTCTGCTTCAAACTTTCTTCTACAACACCATTCTTATTGTTTATAACTTTCATCATCATTCTCTACTTCAGACCTTCGTTGTTGTGCAGTAGAACGATACCTTCTTTTGCTTTTTATATTTTTTTCGATTATTTTTTATTCCTATATCAAATATATGTATTCGTATATTTCGATTTTCTTTGTCATAAATTACATGAAATCGGATATAACTACTTTTCAATTAAACAGGAAAAGATATTATGTATCTTTAATAAAACAAAAATCAACTATCTTTGGAATTGACACTAATTAGGAAAACATTATTTTTATATATTAGAGATGATTATTATTACTTTTTAATTATTATGTCATAAGAATCTGATTAATTTTGGTATGATCCTATTACACTTTTAGGCTGATTTAATAGGAAATAATATATAATCTATTTATGCATCCTTTGAAATTAAGTATAGAAACAATTTTGTTGACAACTATAATAGTTTTCATACCTCTTTATGAATCATACATCTTTAGAGACAAGTACATTGTATACATCTCTTTTATTTCATATAAAAGTTCTTTCTAATTCTAATTGTTTTCTCTTTCATTTTACACCCATGGTGAAAAACCATCACGATCAGATCGTCTTTGATAAGGATGCGGACATCGATGCATCCGAGGAAACCTGAAACATTCGTGTTCAAGTACTCTTGCTTTGGAAGCAAACTTAAAAACAACCCAAACATGTTCAGACATGATTTTAATTGACGAGTAGGTACAATTTTTTCTTTTTATTATTATGTTGCTTTTAATTTATAAAATTTTAAACTTAACCAATTTTTTTCACTTACATGACACTAAAATACAAGCAACAATAAAAAAAATCTCATTAGTTCGTTTGAAGCCCTCTTTATTGAAGGATATGTAAAGGATATTAGTAGTTTTGGTATGGCCATAAAAGAAGGAGATTACATGTTGGTTGATCATAAGCATAAGAATAATTTCTACAAAACAACCCATGTTCGTGTATCAAATGATTTTGCTATCATGGTGGATCCTTATAATTTTGTGACTTTCTAGGATTTGATAGCCAGGAATCTCGACACTCGTGTTGCATTTGGTAAAATTTTATTTTAACATTCTACCTTATCTATAGATAAATATTTATTGTATTACAAATCTATAATACAACAACCGTTTATTTATTTATTTTGTTCTAAATTTTTTTGGTCATGCTGGATCGACTAATCCCATGAAAGTGATTATTGAAAATTTAAGGAAAAAACAGTTGATGAACCTGGTTGATCAGGATCTAAGTTAAGTATATGTGTTTAAAACATTTTATTTTCTAAATTACTTTTCTACATGATACCATAAAACATGTGCTTTGCATGAAAATGACATGTTCATCTACACTTTAATATACATGTTTATTTTATCATTACTTAAAACATTTCGAATCCACTAATTATAGAATTCACCTTTTGTCATACAGGACATAATTCGTTGATCATTATCAGAGGGTCCATTTATGATCTTTTCACTAACAAATTGATCAAATGTAGTTAGAGCTCTTTCGTATATTTTTTATCACATGTCTTCATACTTTTAACTTTTAAATTTTCATCTTCAAAATCAATTTTTTAGTTACATACGTTCATTGAAACTATTTTTTTTAACATACCAACCTACTTTGTTTTATCTTTATATAATAACAATAAATTTATAAATTTACACAATATATATATTTCCAATTTTGTCATAGTATTATACTTTACAAAATACAATTCCCTCAAAAATAATTTTCGTCCGTAATTTCATCTATTATTTCACCCAATTTAAATTTGTATTTTTTTTATATAATTTTTTTTAATGATCCCGGTTTTTCCCTCCAAAAGTATATCAAGCATCTATGTCTTAGATAATGTTGTCCCATTATAATTATCATTTTCCAAAATATATTCGTTAATTGAGGAATTTAATTTAGTGAAGGAAGTAATTGTTAATTCAATCAAGATATATATTCCATAATTATTACACGATTTTATTAAAAAAAATATTAAGATGTAAACAATAAGCATTTTTAAAATAAATTTCAGAATGCATACAAACAATGATGTAGTACAATGAAATATAAAATTGAATAGACTGGAAAAAAAAAACTATTAAGATATTCAATCTTGAAAATAGTATAATTATGAAAAAATTTAAAGTAAGATAAAAATTATAAGATATTAGAAGATTTGTAAGCACAATTAGTAAAAGCTTTACGATTATTAAAAAAAATAAGATCGTTAAAATTAGTAAAAATGCAATATATAAACTAAATTATCACAATAGTAATGAAATGTCATTATTTGATATTTCATATAACTGAAAGATATATCAAATTACATTGATGATATACTAAAATTATTTAAAGTTACGCCAAGACTAATGCAAAGTTCTTGCGAACACCAAATAAATAGTAACAAACATAAAAGCTAGCACTTATATTCATAATCAATTTAAAATAAATCAATTACATTGATGATAAAATTAAACTCATAAAAAATTTAACATTCTATAAATTATACTCTACAACTTTATTTGAATAAATGAAATAGTTGTCAATATTTAATGCAGTGAAAAAACGGTATATTGGTTGTCAATATATGCTTAAATTAAGTAACCTTATTATAGAAGGAACGTCTAATTAAAATACTTATGCTTATATAACAATATCATAACTATATGTGACGATGAAGGTCATTTAACTAAAAAACTGTTGTATACAAAGAAGTCATTGAACGGCTATAAATATTTATCGATTTCAATGTATATTATATACATTTCAATAATACCAATAACCATAATTTTTTTATAATTATTATGCAATATTTGTAGACATTTGTATGTTTTTTATGCGTGTTTCCCGTGTTTAACGCGGGTTATAACCTAGTAAACCAATAAACCGGGTGTCTTCTTACCCAATCACGGTCCACAGCTCATTTTTTTTGACGCGTTTACAAAAACTAGAACTCGATTCGAAATCATATTCCTATCCTATCTTAGGATTCCGCATAAACAAAATAACCTCCTTAATTAAAGCGGTTTCCTTTAAGCTTATATATAATTGTAAAAAAGATAATTCAATATAAAAAATCAAATAAGGTTATGGATACAAATTAAATAGCTAATCCTGCATGCCACCGACTGACCAATCCATCAACCTGGTTTTTCTTTCCTTATATGAATCCTCATCACATCAGTAGCTTGTCGTGGAAGTCACGTGAATAAGGAAACCATCGAGAGGATTAAACCTCAACAATATATAGATCAAGGAAACCATCGAGAGGATTAAACCTCAACAATATATTGATCACAGTGACAATTGAAACTTTAACCTTAACTAATCGATTAGCCATGGTTGATTGGTCGGTCATATATTCGTATTGCGGCCTAGTTTTCATCTCCTCCGTTACCTTGTTATTTTGTGTTTATCTTATCAAGTACTGCTATCAACGTTGGCGTGATCTCGTAGAAGATGAAGATATTGAAAGCGGAACAATACGACCATCCCAACTGCCAATAAACACCTTTGTCATCAACCATCTTGTGGTGGCGTTACAACAGACAAACCTTGCTGAACTTAATAGCGATCTTGGTGAAATTCTGCAGGAGCAAATATACACTAGTAGTACATGCAAGAACGATGACTGCGTGATATGTCTTGAGGAGTTCAAGAAGAAAGAGAAAATCCGAGTTCTGGTGTCCTGCCAACATCCGTTCCACGGACACTGCATCATCACGTGGTTGTTCGTTAAGCGAAGTTGCCCTATATGTAGAAAACCCATCAGATCTTGAATATAGCTCATCAATAATAGTTGCACTGTCTTTTTTTGTTGAAAAGAGGTGTTTATTAGGTCAAAATTGTTTTATTTTATCGTATAGTACTCCAATTAGTTTTACTTAGATGTCTATGTATATATGTTTACAAATATATTGTAATAGTACATTGTGATTGGTGTTCTATTAGTTGACTAAATTTATATCATTGTGATTTCAGATGACTTCAATGTAACTTTCAAATATTTGTTACCAATAGAGGTGCACACGGTCTGCAGGTTCAAAGCATATATTGTAATGTAGGACGGGCTATCGCTCTTGACCCATCCAGGACCGGGTTCAGCTTTATCCCGTTAAATGTGTAAAAATAACCCGGTTTATGTGAAATTGCTGATATAAGCCGGTTATGAACTGGGTCATATAAGGTTTATAGAACAATGTTAACTTACAAGCATCCAGGTGACATAATATTCAACATCCAGGTCCTTTTACACATATGAAGCCCTCTTCCTTAGCAAGTAAAAAACAAGGGGATCCTTCTAGCCCCGTCGAAAATACCCGATACCCGAATTATCCGTTCGATTTTTTCGGGTATCGGGTAAATCGGATATCGAGTAAATTTTTCTGGGTAATCGGGTTACCCGGTTTTTTCGGGTCGGGTAAAGGGTAAATTTTTTGGGTTTCGGTATACCCGAATTACCCAAATTATTTTAAAAATTCATTTTTTTTTGTAGAGCTTGTACTATATAGCAAGTATTTGATCATGCTTAAACTAACTATCATTATTGTAAAACATAAATATATTTATTATGACAATACGACACTAACAATATTAAAAATAATTTGTATATATCATCACGTTCTTTAAAACTTAACTGTTTTCTAGATTATAGTTTGTATTGCAACTAACAAACTCATTATCTTGACAAAACTTCAGAACATAACAAAACTTATGGTTACATTTATCTTAAACATTTTAAACTTTTAAATTAAGATCTTTAGGTATTTGTTTTTTTAACATCTTATTAGATTAGATTAAGTTGTTAAAAAATTACTTGATATCTCATGTATTATTGACTAAAAATCTCAATGTTCAAAGTTTGAGTAACTTCGTTTATGTCTCGTTTGTTTATATAAACAAGACTAATAAAGCACGACGTATTTATTTCATTAAATTTATTTTCAGGTGAAATTCAAAAAAAAAATATATATTTCGGGTAATACCCGAATTACCCAAACCCGAATTACCCGAATTTAGTTTGGGTAGTGTAACGGGTAATTTTTCTAACATGAAAAACCCGAATTACCCGAAACCCGAAAAAATTACCGGTTCAACGCCCCTAGATCCTTCTAGGTACAAATATAGAACATGGTCCATAGATAAGCAACATAGACATTTTTTAAAAGAAATTAATTATCAAAATCACAATGACAGTACTAAAGTACTTACACTTGTGGTTGTTACATTGTTATTTTTTGTATTTAAACTAATGGAAAATGACTTGAAAGCCTAACAAAGTTTTCAAACCATTCAAAAACCCTCAATCATGTTTTGTCTGTTCAAAAAAATCCAAATAACTTAACATTTTGTCTAAAAAGTCCAACAAAGTTCCAAACCGTTCAAAAAATCCCAATTTTGTTTTATTTACGTTCTTTGGATTTTTTTGAACAGTCAAAACATGATTGAAGTTTTTTAAACATTTTGAAAACTTCGTTGATCTAACAAGTCATTTTCCCGATACGATAATAAGTCACGTCATCTGTTTATCTTATTTGACTTTCAGGAAAGTGTAACTTAGTTGGGCTTTTTAGACAAAATGTTAAGGTTGTTGGGTTTTTTTGAACAGACAACATGATTTAGGTTTTTTGAAGGGTTTTGAAACTTCGTTGGGCTTGTAAGTTATTTTCCCTTTAAACTAAATACAGAAACCATCAAGTTAAATTCTAAAGCAAGATATTAACATCAATCAACACAAAATATTAACCTATTTAGAAAGGATTGCTCAAAATCTTAAAATCTAGCACACTTATCCCCGATTCTATTTTTAATATCCTCAAGTAATAACGATGACGAAGTTGATCAACTGAAATTTCATTTCTATGTTACCGTATCCCTTTACCTAAGAAGAAAGAGTACTATAAACTGATAGAATTGAGAAAATTTTATGCAATCATGTCTTCATTCAAACTATGAACGGAAGAAATATGCATACATTGAGTGCTGATAAATGTGGCCATATGGGTGTAGCAGGGATATGTAGGTCGTTTCAACTAAATGATCAATGCAAGTATTCCATTCAAAGGACAAGGAACAAAGGATGTACATGTATTGTAATTACTATTGGGATCAATCTCAAACATCATATTCTTGAATAATGATAAACTAATTTGTAACAAAACGATGGTAATAGATTGATGTCAACAAAGAAACTAAACCTTTTATTGATCCCACACAAAATTATTTACATAACACACACACACACACACACACACACACACATATATATATATATATATATATATATATATATATATATATATAGGGAAGAGTTATATGGAAAATGAATGATTAGGGCAACACATATTTGAACCAATGAAAACATGACAACACATCACTTCCACAATACATTACTTGTGAAGAAAGAAATGGACACGTGTCATTCGATTATTGGTTCCGGTAGATGTTGTCCTAGTTATTTGTTTTCCATAGAACTCATTCCTATATATATATATATATATATATATATATATATATATATATATATATATATATATATATATATATATATATATATATTATATATATATATATATATATATATATATATATATGTTCAGGTTCATTTGAGACCATTCTAATTTTGTTAGACCATGAGACCAAATCTAAAAATAATTTTAAAATGCAAAATAAATGGAAAAATCCAAAAATTCTTTTTTTAAATATTATTTTCGAAACTTGAATTAACTAAAAAAAAATAAAAAATAATTAAAAATAAATAAAAAAAATTCCGTTTTTTTTTAAATACGTGAAATATTCTAAATAGAATATTACACTGACATATTCTAAAAAATAATTTTAAAATGCAAAATAAATGGAAAAATCTAAAAATTCTTTTTTTAAATATTATTTTTGAAACTTGAATTAACTAAAAAAAATTAAAAAAAAATAATAAAAAAAATCCTTTTTTTTAAAAAATACGTGAAATATTCTAAATAGAATATTACACTGTACATATTCTAAAAATAATTTTAAAATGCATAATAAATGGAAAAATCAAAAAAATCTTTTTTTAAATATTATTTTCGAAACTTGAATTAACTAAAAAAAATAAAAAAAATGCGTCTCACGGTCTCACAATATTAGGCCGTCTCACATGAACCTAACCCTATATATATATATATATATATATATATATATATATATATATATATATATATATATATATATATATATACAACATTATTGCTCGAATAAACCGGTTAAATGCATCTTATAACCAGGTTTCACAAATGGGCCGGCATGATGTAGGGCGAGTCAGTGAAAGTCTTATCTTACATACTTATAAAACATGCATTTTCCCTTGATTGTCATGCATTTGAAACCCCCCACAATAATTTGCTAAAACCTCATGCATTTGAAACCCCCAAACCTTTTCATCTTCTTAATAATTAATCACACATAATCAATGGTAATTCATATGAGATAATAATTTGCTAAAACCTCATGCATTCGTATGGTATTAGAACATGTTTGAGTTTTTGGGTTTTAGACTTTAGTAAATGGGTAATCCGTTTGATACGTTGAATTTGAAGCTATCTTATTCGAATTACCCAAAACAAGAGATAAATTAATAATATATGCTCATGCATGTTTTGTACAAGCCCCAATCAAAATACAATATATCATGATCATACAATTAAGTGTCTTTTATTCCATTTTTGGCTTTATAACAAAAATTTGTTTACGTGGCAAAGAAAGAAAACTTAAAGATGAATATTTAGGTTGAATGTTTATATAAGATTTGTTTTAAATATATAATATAGATATAAATATACAAATGTATGTCAAATACAGCCCATCACAAATTTAATGTTATAAACTACAATAAAATTCAAAGTGGTTTTCCAAATATAATGTTTATACTATAATATAATATATTAGAAGAATATCATATAGTAGACAAATCTCACATGTTGTGCTGATATTTAGTTGCATAGATAATATATTATAATTATATTTCATTTAAAATATGTTAGGGTCATTTGGTTATTACATTGTTGTATTAGGGACTATAGTCTCATATATTTTGAATGATTTTTACAAAAATGATGTCTGTAATTTGAATATAACGTAATATCTTATGATGTTTATTGAATGATATTATCTTCGATTGAGCACTTTTTAATTGAAATCAACTTTATTATACTTAAAAATTTTGGCTCCGTTTTTTCTTTTCATTAGTTCTAGAATATGATTTTCTATATTAACTTAAAATATGTCACTATCTTAAAATAGATTGAGAATGTGATTTTTTATATTTACTCAAAATACGACACCATTTTCTATTCAATAGTAAAACTAACAAAAGTCGTTAAATATGTATTTTTATGAGGTTCAACATAAATAGACGACCACAAATGAGAATCCATATCTAATCAATCATCAACTAATTAAATTAGATACTAATGTGTACATAAAAATTACATTTTAAATTTTAAACTAATAGTAAAAAAATTTAATTATTTATTATGATAAAAAATATGTAAATCAAAAAATATATCTGCTTTTTAATCGCATACAAGTTTTATGTATTACTTATTCACAATACATTAAACCATATATAACCATATTAAACTACATAATTATCCCACTGCGCAACGCGCGGGCATTCGCCTAGTAATTAATAAAACTCGGTTTATATTAATAGGACATGTCATACTACATTTCAACAAAACCTCATAAACTTTTTCATGCACAAATAGAACCTTGAACCTCAATTATATTATTAAATAGGTCT